TTCTCAGAGACCACCCTCAATGCCTCCCCGCAGCCTCTCCAGAACCGTGAGCAAGAACCCAGCTTTACCTGTTGGCCTTGCTGTCATCGGCAGTTCTTCTATTAATGCACTGAATTTTAAAATGGACCCCAGTGGAAATAGGAGCCTTTTGTGCTACTAGACTTAACACAGAATAATTGAATGGAGGAAAGCCTGTGAGCTCCGAAGAAGAATGACGTAGGCAGGGCGGAGGGGAGACAGGACTCAGCTGGAGCGGTGGGGGTGGAGTGGGGTGGGGGCAGGCATGGCGCTGAGCTGTGCAAGGGAGTCGGGAGCGGGCGATGGATCAGCCCCCAGGACTCACGTGTGAAAGAAGTATGTATTTCCAGGAACTCTGCTTTACTTTTGACCTCCATTTCGCCAAGGTAGGAATCTGGCCCAGGTCTGTCCGGGATCTTGTGGCCCATCCCCATCCCTACACGGCTCTAAGGATGGTTCAGCTCAGTTCAGTCGCTCAGTCTCATCCGACTCTTTGCGACCCCATGGACTGCAGCACGCCAGGCCTCCCTATCCATCACCAACTCCCGGAGTTTACTCAAATTCATGTCCATTGAGTCAGTGATTCCATCCAACCATCTCATCCTCCGTCACCCACTTCTCCTCTTGCCCTCAATCTTTCCCAGCATCAGGGTCTTTTCAAATGAGTCAGCTCTTCACATCAGGTGGCCAAAGTATTGGAGTTTCAGCTTCANACCACGAATACCGTGAGCAGCGAAGGAGGTGCTGTAGGAGGGCTGGGAGAGCGGACGGCTTAATGGAAGAGGTGACGCCATGTGGCACATGGGGCAGCGCACGGAGCCCTGGAGTGGAAATGGAGTGGCAGACCTCAGGCTGCAGCGACGCCGGGTCTGATTTCCTCAGCTCTCCCTGAGCTGTGAAGCATACGCTGGGACCAGAGAGTCAGGCTCAGGACAAACCCGCTAGCTATAGAGTAACCGCAGAGCCAGCTCGTGACACCTGGGAAGGAGACGGTGGATGATGCCGTCTCTGGTATTTCCAGGCCTGAGTCAAAATTGAAAGTGTTCCCTTCAAACTTTGAAACTGGAGATCCAAGTGTTTCTAGCTGGGCCTTTTTTCTCTGCTCCCTAACTGCAGGGGTAACCACACAACTGGTCCACCCCGGGTTCACTGACCAGCTAGCCAGCCTCGACCGCGAGAGGGCATGTGTGTGTACTCAGTCACTCAGCCGTGTCTGACTCTTGGAGACTCCACGGACAGTAGCCTGAGAGGCTCCTCTGTGCATGGAACTTTTCAGTCAAGAATACTGGAGTGGGTTGCCATCTCCTGCTACGAGGGATCTTTCCCACCCAGGGATCAAACCTGCATCTCTTGCGTCTCCTGCACTGGCAGGCAGATGCCTCACTGAGTCTGGGTTGCCCCCATTATTCAGATTAGCAGCCAACAAATGCAACTGGGAAACACCAGATGATTCAAACTGCATCTGTATACATTTCACTCTCCACAGCAGTCCGCACACTCTGTTTTATTAGGGTTTCTCCGTCATAATTCCCACCTGGAATTTAACTGGGTTCCAACTTTCTTAATACATTCATAGGAAACTTCATCACAGTCACCCTTAAATCTACGTTTGGCCATGTACCACCTCTTCATGGCACTGTAGTACTTCTCCGTTGCTGAGAGAAATGTCTTAAAAACAGTAAAGGAAATTGGCGCAGCCACTATGGAAAACAGTATGGAGATTCTGCAAAAAAACTAAACATGGAACTACAATACAATCCAGCAATTCCACTTCTGGGTATTTAGCCAAAGAAAATAAAAGCATTCATTCAAAAAGATACATGCACCCGTATGGTCACTGCATTATTTACAATAGCCAAGATACGGAAATAAGCGCCATGTCCATTCATAGATGACTGGATAAAGAAGATGTGGTATTAATATAATGCTACTCAGCCATTTAAAGAACGAGGTCTTGCCATTTGCAACAACAAGGACTGACCTGGAGGATGGCATGCTAAGTGAAGTAAGTCAAACAGAGAAAGATAAGAACATGATTTCACTTATATATGGAATCTAAAAACCAAAAAAAAATGAACAAACAAAATACAACAGATTCACAGGTACAGAGAACCAACTGGTGGTTGTCAGAAGAAAGTGAGGTGAAGGACAGATAAAAGGGGGGACAAAGTTTAAAAGGTAAAATCTTTCAGCTATTGGAGAGGGTGTGGAGGAAAGGGAACCCTCTTACACTGTTGGTGGGAATGCAAACTAGTGCAGCCGCTATGGAGAACAATGTGGAGATTCCTTAAAAAACTGAAAATAGAACTGCCATGCGACTCAGCAATCCCACTGCTGGGCATACACACTGAGGAAACCAGAATTGAAAGAGACACGTGTACCCCAGTGTTCATCGCAGCACTGTTTACAATAGCCAGGACATGGAAGCAACCTAGATGTCCATCGGCAGATGAATGGGTAAGAAAGTTGTGGTATATATACACAATGGAATATTACTCATCCATTAAAAAGAATGCAATGAGCATATAACATACACACAGGCAACATAATATTGGAACAGCTTTGCATGGTGAATGATAGTAATTGGTGTTACCATGGTGACCATTTCATCATGTATAAAAATACTGAATCACTATATTATACATTTGAAACATGGAGTTTCTGTAGTGTAGTGGTTATCATGTTCGCCTCACATTTGAAACTAATACAATATTGTATGGTACTTATAATTAGAGGTAATAAAAGAGCAAATATATGTCTGGAAGCAATATTATTTTTATTTTCCTTTGAGGTTCAAAATTCTATTATTTCTTTGTAATAGATTTGAGACTCTTTTCTCTATAGAAAATACACTCCAGTCACGTAATAAGCCAAGCTACTCCAAAGGTGCACACAAGAAATAACCATAGAAGATATCCAGTTTCCAAACATGATGAATTCTCAGTCAACTATCATCCAGTGAGTAGGTGGCTGTTTAAGGATGTAAAAACACACAGCCCCTGTTTTCCAGAAAATGATCCATCTGTTTGGGAAATAAGACCACTTATTTGCAAAGTGAAACCACGCTGCTAAATAGCACACAATTCCAGCCAGTGTTCACCCATTTTCTAAAGGGGCATCTTCCTAAAACACAATGGCATTTATTGAGTCTTCTATATGCCAGGCACTGTGCTTCTGGCTGATTCTTTGAACCTCTAGACAACCCCATGAAACATGAAAGGTTTGCGAAAGAATACTATCAATAGCAAAAGAGTCAGACATGACTTACTGACTGAAAAAACAAAATTAGTAGAGGAACTAATCTGATAAATCATTTCTGAGCCTGAATTCTGAGCTTTCCTAAATCAAGGAAACAATCATAATCTTTCAAAGTTCAGTTTTTATGAGGCACTGGGGTATTCAAGCTAAGGTCACCTACGAATATTCCTTATGAAACTAGGGGATATGAAAACATTTTACCAAGTAAACTTGGGACTATCGATCAACAGATTCATTTCAGAGGGGCTTGATGAGTATCTCATCCTTCTAAGGAATGATCCCAATGAGGAAACCAATTTCAAGATCCCATTTATAAAACAGGCAGTCAGTGGACAGTGCTCCTGGACTAATCTGGTCTTTATATGTTCAGACGGACCTCCGCTGATCAGCCTATTAACCTGCCAACTTTTTTCTCTCTTGAGATAATATGACTAGAAAACGCACCCCTAAATGACATCGAGTATCCCAATTTATATGGTTCAGCTCACAAATATTCTTCAAGCCCTGCACCTTTTAGGGAAAGCTTGTATTGCTCGCAGCCTCCAGAGGCAGCATCCACGGGGAGCACGGCAGACCCGGCGAGATGAGTGGAGCCACCCACTCTCTGCCCGCACTGCAGCGTGCATCACCGAACTCCATCAGGGGACCTGCCGGGGCGGCGGGGGGCGGGGGGCCTGATCTCGGGGGCTTCTCCGCTGAGACCACATCTCCCTGCAAGCATCTCCTCGGCTCATACCTCCAAGCTGGAGGCCACCGCTTTGCGGAGGTCACTTAGGCCCCTAACAAGCCAACGGATGGATACAAGTCTGATGTGTATGACACAGTCAAACTAGTTGAACTGAGATATAAAGTCCTATACCCCAATTCATATATAGGATTGCAGATAATAAACAAGAACGACTCTGAAAATAAGTGATACTTTCCATTTCTAGTATTTTATTAAAACAGTATCTGTTTCTGAGAATACAATTATATAATTATTTTCGTTTAAAAATCTTATACAAGTAGGAAAAAAAACATATGAAAAGGAAAAATTACTTAAATACCATCACCAAGATATACTAAAATTTTGGTTTACTTCGTACCCTTTTTTCTCTATGTGGATTATCTGTGAATGAGTAAAGATGTATATATCCTGACCTGAACCCATCCATTTTTGTAGTTGTTGACTGTGCTCAGTCACATCTGACTCTTTGGGACCCCATGGACCCCCACCAGGCTCCTCTCTGTCCATGGGATTTTCCAGGCAAGAATACTGGAGTGGGTTGCCATTTATTTCTCCATTAATAAACATTCTCTTCAACACAATTTTGATTTTATGATGTTGAAAAATCATAACTTATGTAACTGATGTCTTATTATTAAACACTGGAGTTGTTCCTAAATAAAACATGCTGAATGGGTTTACAAATAAATATTTGACCCAATATTTTATTATTTCTTTAAAATACATTCTTGAAATATGCCCACTGGGTCAAAAGGTATGGGGTATGAACATTTTATGATTGTGAATACAAACACTGCTGGAATTCCTCAGTGAAATTTGGACCAATTTCGGCACAGCACTCTCCTCTTCCCTTCACCCTCACCAAATGCTGAAAACTATAATTTAAAAAGTACTTTGCCAAGGAGCTGGGGTATCAAAGAGGTTTTTAAGTTTAACTTACATACTCAGTTGTATTCACACTCATACTCTGATTGATCATTTGCTTTTTTCTATTACTTATACATTCATGCCCTTTGCCCACTTTTTGACTAGTCCATTAACAGTTTTCTTATCTACTAGAGTTTTTTATATATTAAGGCTGTTGATAGCTGCTCTCAATGTGGTACACATACACTAAGGCTGATCATCCAAACACACCCTGAAGTTATTAGTTTGGGTGTGATGTGACTTCTCCTTTGGTTTAATAAGTTCTTTACAGAAAAATAAAACACACATTCAACTTTAATGTAGAACAAGGCCCATCAAACCCTGGGCAGACTAAGGTACAAAATGCTCAGTGGACAAACCACAAGGCAGAACTAGTCCAGGTACTCTAACTCACTGAACATGCCTCTCGGTATACAGTTCTTGAAGCTTTTTTTGTCTGAAGAGGTTTCTAAAAGATATGTGACACTAAGAATGGATTTATTTAAAAGAATATTTATGTGTAATTCAACAGTTAGGCAGTCACAATACAATGTAATTAACCCCTTCTTCCATCTGTAAATGGTTATTTCTGTGGTAGGATATACTGCTAACTTTTTATATTTTTAATCAATTCCTGCACTATAGAATGTCATTTAGAAATGTTTTATTTAATTTTTACATGACAATTTTAACATTAGAGTAATTTTGTTGTGAAAAATAAAGTTCCATCTTATAGGAAAGAGTGACTCTTCAAGTCACTCATTGGCATCTTTATTTACAGATTAGACTTGGTCAGCCAGTGAANCTTGAAAAGAATGTGTGTACTGCTGTTTTTGAAAGGAATGTTTTGAATATATATGTTATTGACTGGGGAGTTTTTGCAGAAACTAACACCTGTGGCCAACGATTTGTCATGGAAGTGTATACTGAAATGTTTTCAGACAGTAAGTTAAGTCCATGTGTTTAAATGTGTCATTTAAGGTTGATGTTTCCTAACTGATTTTGTGTTTGGATAAGCTATCACTGATGTAAGTGGATGTTAAAGTTCCCGAATATTATTATATTGATGTCTCTTTCTCTTTAGGTCTGTAAATATTTGCTTTATATCCATGTGTATGTGTGTAGTTTCCTATGTTGTATGCATATTTACAAATGTTATGTCCTTTTGTTGGATTGACTCCTTTATTATTAAATAATGCCCTTCTTTTTCTCTTATTACAGTCTTTGTTTTGAAGTCTATTTTATCTGATGTAAGTACAGCTACTCTAGCTTTCATCTGGTTTCTATTTGCATGAATTATTTTTTTCTATCTCTTTATTTTCAGTCTGTGTGTATTCTTATAACTGAGAGTCTCTTATAGGCAGCATATAGATGTGTCTCTTATCCATTCAGCCACTCTATTTATTTTTACTCAAGAACTTAATACATTAATATTTAAAGTAATTACTGATAGGTATGTACTTATTGCCATTTTGTTCTTTTCTGGCTGTTTTACAGTTCCCCTTTGTTCCTTTTACCAAAGTCCTTGATATCTGTTTTCTAAAAACAGAATTTCAGTACAATTCTGTATGTTCCATAGATTCCAAATAAGTTAATTCACATTTCATTTACTACCTGGTGTCCACTTTGCCCATTTGTCCACTGCCTTGTTCAAAACAGAAAAAAATCTAAGAGCAGATTTATAAAGAACCAAGACAAAAACTACTTGAAAAAATATACAAAACATTGAAAACAACAGCTGATATGCAAGGTGTAAGCTTGAAGGCCAGGTATGTAAGAGAAAGCAAAAGTAGCTGGACCAGGATCAAAATACAAAGCTAAGTAAGACAAGTAACTTATTCTGGAATGGAACAGGAACATACTATAAACTTCATCATTTATTTTACTGCTATAGTCTATGCTGCTTTAGGAGCCAAAGTAACTAACTTTGAATAGAGTTGCCCAAATTACAATATTATATAATCTCATCTCCTATTGAGCCTATCTCCACTCTCCGCCTTCCAGCCACTGTGGCCTCCTTTCAGCTCCCTGGACTTGCCACGCCCTGTCCTGCTAAAGAGCCTGCGCACAGCATTCTTCTCGCTTCTCTGCTGAGCATGTCCTACCTCCCTGCTTATCCTTCAGCTCTCAATTTAAGCATCACTCTGAGAAGACTTCCTCGTGACTCCAGTATAAACTGAATTCTTTTGTGGGTTTTTGTTTTCAAATTTATTTTATTGAAATATACTTAGTTGATTTACAGTGCTGTGTTAATTTTTGCTGAATAGCACAGTGATTCCATTATACCTGTATATAGATAACTTTTTTCATATTCTTTTCCATTATGGCTTATAACAGAGTTTTGAACATAGGTTCCCTGTGTTATACAGTAGGACTCTGTTGCCTACCCACTTTATATATAACAGTTTGCACCTGCTGATCCTAAACTCCCAGTCCATCCCTTCCCTCTCGCCCTTCCCTGTGGCAACCACAAACCTGCTCTCTGTATCAGTCCGCTTCTGTTTCACAGGTAAGTTCATTTGTGTCAAATTTTAGATCCCACCTACAGATGATCCCATACAGCATTTGTCTTTCCCTTTCTGACTGACTTCACTTCATATGAGCATCTCTAGGTCCTGTCATGATGCTGCAAATGCATAACTTCGTTCCTTTTCACAGCTGAGTAATATTTCATTGTATACAGGTTCTACATTTTTATCTATTCATCTCTTGATGGACATTTAGGTTGCTTCCACGTCTTCATTATTCCAAATAATGCTGCAGTGAACACTGGGGTGCATGTATCTTTTCAAATTATGGTTTTCATCAGATATACGTCCAGGAGCAGGATTGCTGGATCATATGGCAACTCTATTTCTACGTTTCTGAGGAACTTCCATACTGTTTTCCACAGTGGCTGCAACACTTTACACCTCCATCAATAGTGTAGGAAGGTTCCCTTTCCTCCACAACTTCTTGGATTCCTTTGTTTTATGTTTATTCAGAACTGGGTTTCTTTCCTTCAGAGGAATTGCCTCACTCTACTGTGATACATTCTAGTTGAGAGGTGACGGACTGTGCTTTCTGACTGGACAATAAAATCCATGAGGTGAGAACCGAGCCTAGCTTTGCTCACTAAGCTATTCTTAGCACCTGACATAGTGCATCTAATACCTATCTTAACAGATACTCATTGAACAAACAGATGACAGTAACAAACTCAGAAATGGTTTACACAGAACTCTGTAAATAAGAGGGTGTTCTATTTGGTAAATACTTCGGGGGTGGGCTGAGAGATGCATTTCTGCTTTCTGCTTGGCAACTGCGTTTACCTGGGCTTTCCGAGTGGCTTGTGGCTCAATCATGATGTTGATGAGGGAGGGATTAGTTGTGTCTGCCAGGCTCTGCCTCAGGGATTTCTGGAGTTCTTCTGGTGTTTGTACAAAATACCCTTTGCCTCCAAATGCAGTCATGACATGCTCATACTGTGAGTGGGGCAGAAGACACATTGGAGGGGCCCTGAAAAAGAAGGTCATAGTCAACAGAAAAGATTGCCTGAAATAATTTGTGGGAAAATTTCAGCTAAACTGAAAGGCATACTTTTCTGTAAACTGAGATGCCTGTACATTAAACTTTACATACATTTTTTATTGTCTATGTGACAATGTCTAATGAACTTTCCATGATGATGGAAATTTTTTTATCTGTTCTGTCCAATATAGTAGCTACTAGTGACCTGCTGCTCTGAGCACTTTAAATGTGACTAGTTAAAAAGAGGAACTGAATTTTTAATTTAAACTTAAACAGCCCGTATGTGGCTAGTAGCTACCTTGCTGGACAATGTAAGCTATACCATCAACTATTATGAATCCCTCTCCTCATAAAAAAGAAGAAAAAAGGAATGATTACAACAAAACAGCAAATAACAACAGAACAACAAAATCAGCAAGGCTTAAGAAATATACCCATGCCCTGACCCCAGATTCACACCTCTCACATCCCACGGCCAGCACAGTACTGTCTCAGTGTGACTGTGGCATCAGATGCCCAAGATTCAGCTAAGTGGTAAAAGGAAGGACGACCTCTGTAGCACAAACAGCATGTAAGCGTCTGCATTCCTATGCTGTAGAGTAGGAATAGTAGGGCTAGGAGCCTTTTGCAATAAGTTTTTTTGTTAACAAGGCTTAGACATCAAACTCAGTCACCTGAGACTTCAGTGGCTCCCTGACCATAAACTATTCATTGAAGTGCCAATCAAGGATGGTTGTGCAAAAAGGAACCATGCAGACAGCTTCTACCCTGTAGAGCAGCTGACTGTGAAAAGCAGCAATATTTACACCGTGCAAGCACATTCCAGTACAGTACACTTTTTAAACAGAGATTAAACTAGATGAGAAAAGTAAATATGTGCTGTTCTGGGTTACTTACACTGTAGTAGCATCTCCAAATTTTAACATTTCCTTCCAACTATCTGTATCAAAACCTTGATAAATTCCATTATTATTCACCACCAAAACTACAATTGGCAAGCTGTACCTAAAATTGAGAGCAAAATATAAAGGAAATCATTTTCCACTCTAATGCAATTCTTTTCATTGGATTAAAATTTTAACTTGAAAATGGATAGTTTTCCATAAGTTTTTTTGTAGTATAAGGGTAAGACTAAAAATTAAGCATTTGTTATCCTAGTGAAAGTGAAAGTTGCTCAGTTGTGTCTGACTCTTTGGACTGCGACCCCATGGACTGTGTAGCCTGCCGGGCTCCTCTGTCCATGGGATTCTCCAGGCAAGAATACTGGAGTGGGCTGCCATGCCCTTCTCCAGGGATCTTTCCAACCCGGGGATGGAACCCCAGTCTCCTGCACTGCAGGCACACTCTTCACCCTCTGAGCTATCAGGGAAACCTTAATAAAGATTATCAAGTTATTAACAGAAATATCATGTAGCAGTAGAAAGAATGAAAGGTTAGTGGTTGGCAGACTGGTCCTACCACTATGCAGCTGTGAACCTTGGGCAAATCACCGAGTTTTTCTGAACCTTGGTTTTCACAGATCTAGGGGCTAACAAGAATGACACCTTCCATATTTAATCCCCGCTGAAGCACCTAGATTACTTCAACTGTTCCTCACAACTGTCCATTAAGGTAGGAACTAGTATGATTCCTATTCCTGTTTTAGAGGAGACTGAAGTTTGGTTAAGAGACTTATTTTGGGTCTTGGCGGTACAGCCAGCATTTAAATAATCCAGGCCATCTGACCCAGAGGCTGTGCTCTTAACCACCAAGCTCTGCTATCTCCCCAAAGAAATCAAGATTTTCTCAGACCAGAACTTTCTTTCAGTGACCTAAAAACTACTGCCCTGTTTTGCATTAGGCAAGTGGGTCTTGGGTATAATTTTTCATATTTCAGAGAAAGAAATGCCCTGATTCAGGATGCTTTTTTACCTGCAGATGGTTTCTACTTCCATGCCAGAAAATCCAAATGCACTGTCTCCTTCCACACAGATGACCCGCTGCCCTGGGTTTCTATCTTTAGCCACTATAGCAGCTGCAATGGCAAATCCCAAACCGACTCCCATTGTTCCAAAAGTACCAGCATCAAGTCTGTTGGGGAACAGGGCTAAAATGAAACTCTCTGGGAATATCACAGATGGTGTGGTTGGCACAAATCTAGTCATATCCACATGGCTCAGGGAACAATAAAGAACAATAAAAACATTCTCCGTAGTATTAAGACTGTGAGAAACTAATTTGTTACGGATAAGCAGAACGAATGGGAAAAATCACCTGATTGCTTGGAAGACTACAAATATATCCTCAGAACACAGAGTACACAAACTATCACATGACCTCAGGACACACCAAGCATTGCTGTTCCGTCGCTAAGTCGTGTTTGACCCTATGGATTGCAGAATGCCAGGTTCCTCTGTTCTCTGCTATTTTCTGGAGTTTGCTCAAATTCATGTCCATCGAGTCAGTGATGCCATCCAACCATCTTATTCTCTGCCAGTCCCTTCTCCTTTTGCCTTCAATCTTTCCCAGCAGCAGTGTCTTTTCCAGTGAGTTGGTTCTTCGCATCCGAGGGCCAAAGTATTGGAGCTTCAGCTTCAGCATCAGTCCTTCCAATGAATATGCAGGGTTGAATTCCCCTAAGACTGAATGGTTTGATCTCCTTGCAGTCCAAGGGACTCTCGGAATCTTCTCCAGCACCACAATTTGAAAGCATCAATTTTTTAGCACTCAGCCTTCTTTATGGTCCAACTCTCACATCCACACATAACTACTGGAAAATTCATAGCTTTGACCATACACCTCTTTGTTGACAAAGTGATGCCTCTGCTTCTAATACGCTATAGGTTTGTCACAGCTTTACTTCTAAGAAGCAAAGGTTTTCTAAGTTGCCTCTTCAGTGCAACAGGCAGCTTGTCAGTCTCATATGCTTGCTCTGATCCAAGCACAGAAATGCTCCAAAATCTCACCTAAAAATACATTTATTAAGTATGTCCTTATGGGCACACAGAATTCTCAAATGTTTTTATTAATTTGCTTTTTGTCATTTCTAATTTAACACATTATATAATTCATTATAATTCCTTTTTTGGAAGCCTTACCTATGGCGAGGAAGGTAGTTTTGAAGCACAGTGCGTCCAATATCCATAGTATTTGAGCCTTCACTCACCACAAAACAGTCTCTGGGTAGTTGTTCTTGAACATGGTGGAATACTGTGTAATAGTTCATAGGCAGAGATGTTTTGGAAGCTAATTCCTAAAATATTAGAGGGAAATATAATCAAATTAGATTAGGACACAATGAGAAAAAAAAACATCAATAAGCTACTTTTGAACTGATTTGCAACAACTATTTAGGTTGGTGCAAAAGTAACTGTGGTTTTGTACTGCTGAACTTTGCTGTTCGATATTGGAATACATTCTTAAATGTGGTTATGTTATACATCATTTTCATGTGCATTTCGCACTTTATGTGTTTTTGCTTATGACATTACTTGCTGTTTATTTTATATTTATTTTAGACTAGGCAAATGATGTTAAGACAAAAAGCAAATCCAAGCGATTTTCTTATTCGAGTTCAAAATGGGTCATAAAGCAGCAGAGACAACTCGCATCATCAACACTTTTGGCCCAGGAGCTGCTAACAAATGTACACTGTGGTGGTGGTGCAGGAAGTTTTGCAAAGGAGACAAGAGCCTCGAAGATGAGAAGTACAGTAGCCAGCCATCAGAAGTGGACAGTGACCAACAGAGAGCAGTCCTCAAAGCTGACTGTAAGCTATCTCTTACACGAGAAGTTCAACAGCTCAATGTCGACCATGCTACAGTCGTACGGAATTTGCAGCAAATTGGAAAGGCGATAAACCTCAGTAAGTGGGTGCCTCTTGAGATGACCAAAAACCAAAAATATTGTCACTTTGAAGTGTTGTCCTTTCTTATTCTATGCAACAACAACGAACCACTTTTTGATTGGACTGTGATGTGAGACAAAAAGTAGATTTTACATGACAACTGGCGATGACCAGCTCAGTGGTTGGGCCCAGAAGCTCCAAAACTCTTCCCAAAGCCCAACTTGCACCAAAAAAAGGTCATGGTCACTGTCTGGTGGTCTGCTGCCCATCTGATCCATTACAGCTCTCTGAATCCCAGTGAAACCATTACATCTGAGAAGTCAGCTCAGCAAACCGATGAGATGCACTGAGAACTGCAGCACCTGCACCTGGTATTGATCAACAGAACGGGCCTAATTCTCCTCCATGACAACGCCCGACACATTTCACACAGCCCGTGTGTCCAAAGGTGAACAAATGGGCTATGAAGTATTGCTTCACCCGCCACATTCACCTGACTTCCTGCCAACCGACTACCACATCTTCAAGTATCTTGACAACTTCTTGCAGGGAAAATGCTTCCATAACCAGCAGGAGGTAGAAAATGCTTCCCAAGAGTTCACTGAATCCCAAAGCATGGATTTGTATGTTACAGGCAAAAACAAACTTATTTCTTATTGGCAAAAATGTATTAATTGTAACAGGTCCTATTTTGATTAATAAAGATGTGTTCGAGCCTAGTTATAATGATTTAAAATCTATGGTCCAAAACCACAATTACTTTTTCACCAACCTAATGTAAGCTATGAAATCCCCAAATGGCCATCAGATGACCACTCTGAGAAGCTATCTGACTTGTATACAGTCCTATGGAACAGGCCAAGCAAAACAGGTCTCAGTCCCAATTTGGAACATAATCAAATAAGCCAGGAAATATCCCTCTTCCTGAAGATCCACAATGCACAGTAGCATATTAAAGACCAAGACATCCCATAGTAAAGACAGCTAAAAACACTGGGTTAAGCAAAACTAAACAGTCTTATCTGAGCACTTTCAGGAAAACACTGCCTTAGAAAAAGTGAAAATTTTATTCTAGAAGATTTTCATCTAAAATATGGCCTTATATTAAAAATAAAAAATGAAGTTGGGGTTTTAGAAAATCTGAAAATCTAGTCCTTCCCTACACACAGCACTGGGAAGGAGCTATGCTTCACCCACTACTCTGGAGGGACTCTAAACGGAGGAGAAGACAGCAAGGTCAAGGTCCTTGTCTGGCCAAATGCCTTTAAGAGTATCAGCAACAGAGCCCCATCTCGTCCCAGCACTGCTTCTTCACCTGGACCACTTTCATTTGCTGGAGATTGTACCCAAGATGGATGAGGGACCCTCCTATACTCCTGCACCAGAGAAGACACGCAAGATCCTTCCATCTTAAACCAAGGTGATTCCTATAGAAGAGAAGGAATTAATCACAATCTCATTCAGGGAAAAGAAGTGTGACTGGCTCTGGATAGGAGAAACAGACACTGATTAAAATTCCAAAGAAAGAAAGAATCATGTATAATCAACTCTACTTGTTTGGGAAATGCAAATTTATTCCAAGACAATTGATATATTAGGGAACAATATAGGTACAGCTGGAATTTCATATTTGCTTATGCATGATTCTATCAGTTAGAAACAGTACACAAACACAGAAAACTGCACTCAGCTGAACCAAGATGCAGAGGAATACATAGAACTGTGGGGGGAAAAAATCAGGAACTACCTTTCTCACAATCAAAGAGAAAACACTGTCCATAAGTAAAGACTTTAAACAGAAACTGAAGAATCCTGCAGAAGTGGTACATTTTGGGGCTAACTTTGGATGGTTTGGTAATTTCATACGTTACTACAATTTCCAAAGCGTTTAGCTACCAGGTAGAGCCATGAGCAAAGACGAGGAAGTTGAGAAAGAATTTCCACCAGTGATACAAAAGTTTCAGTTGGAAAAGAAGGCTACAAATGGTCTCACTGACAGAACAGAATAGATCACAGCAGCATAACATACCGTAAGGTAACATGAAAGTGAGGGGATGATGTGTTAATTAACTAAATAGGGAGAATTCTTTCACAGTGTGTATGTATACCAAAGTACCATGATATACTTTATAATTTTATACCTTAATAAAATTGAAATTAAAAAAAAAGAAAAAGGTGGCTATACATTAGATCCAATTTTCAATTTTGATGAAACACTTATTTAAATGAATGCCTTAAAGAACTTACACCTTAAAGGCAGAAAAACATGCCCCAACATGCCCCAGGATTTAAGGTTCCAAAAGATCTCCTGTGATTTGGTACCAAGGTCAAACTGAGGATTAGGAGCCACAGCCATCCACACTGACTCTTACTGCTCTGTCCAGTGTCAGATCCCCGCTTTCCACCGCTTTGCAGTAACTCACAAGCTGTAACCCTTTCAGTGCCCACTTTCACAAGAAACTCAGGTGCTGTATTTATTGTAATACATATATGAATGTGTGTGTATGTATATCTTATGTATGGTGATTTTAGGAATGCATATGTGTGCATGCTATGACAGAAGTAACAACCATGGAGCTGCAGCGTTCTTGAATATCAGTGGGTCCCGTATTACCTTGAATAAAGCTTCATTGCTCTTCATTTTTTCTCTCAGAACTTTCCACCACTTGCTCTCAGGAGGATACTGCCATGGTGTTTTATCAAATTCTTCTAAAAGCTAAAAAAAAGAAACTTTTTCTTTCCTTTTTGAAAATAAGCTTAAATCATATTAGCATAAAAGTCTCTTCTAAAGAAGACAATATAGCTACACCATCCTACCCTTCACATCACTCATATTCTGTTTTTCCTCTTGGCAGTAAACAACTGATAGAAGATAAACAGGTACCACAGAAAGCCTCTGCTTAGTTCAGTGACAACCTCTGCCAGAAGCTGGGATTCCATAAGACAAAACAGAAGTGACGCCCCTAGCACACATCACAGGCAGGGGTGTTCATAAGTCCTCCTCTGCGTTTGACACCAGAAGGAAAATCAAAGAACCTGGGCAAGAAGGTTCAGAGCCCTAATACCTAGGGATTCCCATGACACAGACCAAATGTTCCAGAGTGTTTTAATATGTGGTTGGGGATCACACCCTAATTTTGTGTAATGATGACTATGATACTAATTTAAATCCAAAGCCAAGTGATGTGCTATATTTTATCTCCTGTCACAGTGAAATGTATAAATTATATACAAATAATAAGAATCTGGATAAGTCACTGATAACAGCTTGAAGAGTAAAAATATCTTTATTGCCAAAAGAAGCACTAAGCTAGAATTTTTTTCCAGTAGGTAAAGCCATTTCTTGGCTCTAAGTTCAGTTCCTCTGGAAGCTGTATTATAATCTTTCATATAGCTGGATCAGTTTGCCAACCAAATGCCTTTAAATTTTCACTCATTTCAAAAATGCTTAACTTACTCACATGATCTATATATAAGGAGTTGGATTTACCAAGTTCTATAGTTATATTTAAGAATAGCTTTCTATCATAAATTTTATTTTAGATATTAAAAGACCTGTTACCAAGTGAAACATTTTCAAGAACTGACTTCTGTTAAGACCAAGCCACATAAACTAGAACCTGGGCAAAAGCTCTCACCTGTTTAGTGACAACATTTATGTCTCCAAGCAAGGTCACAGCAGGCCTTACATTATTCCCCAATTCTTCTGCACAGATATCAACCTAAAAAAGAGACCAGGCTAAAGAATTAAGCCATGTTTATTCTTAAAAATCATTAAAGAATCAAGACTGAATAAATGGACTGTGCATGTTACACATATGCATATGATTTAGATTCGATATTCAAGAAGTTCCTTAATAAAAGTAAAAATCCATAGAACTATATGAGTATCACGGCTAGCATAGAAACCTCACTAACTTCCCTCATTTAAAATCTACTCTGAAGAACTTCAGTATTATTCCATTATACTCCCAGGAATACATTTGAGTTGATCAATTATAGTGCTGAATAATAAGGTTATACTTAATTACACTAGAATTTGTATTCAGAGCAGAAGCTCTCAAGTTCGAACATGTATCAGAACAACCTGGCAGGCTTGTTAAACCAGATCTGAAAGAGATACGTGCAACCCAATGTTAATCGCAGCACTGTTTATAATTGCCAGGACATGGAAGCAACCTAGATGCCCATCAGCAGACGAATGGATAAGGAAGCTATGGTAACTATACACTATGGAATATTACTCAGCCATTAAAAAGAATTAATTTGAATCAGTTCTAATGAGATGGATGAAACTGGAGCCCATTATACAGAGTGAAGTAAGCCAAAAGATAAAGACCAATACAGTATACTAATGCATATATATGGAATTTTAAAAGATGGTAACGATAACCCTATATGCAAGACAGAAAAAGAGACACAGATGTACAGAACAGACTTTTGGACTCTGTGGGAGAAGGTGAGAGTGGGATGTTCTGAGAGAACAGCATTGTAACAAATATACTATCAAGGGTGAAACAGACCACCAGCCCAGGTTGGATGCATGAGACAAGTACTCAGGGCTGGTGCACTGGGAAGACTCAGAGGGATGGGATGGAGAAGGAGGCAGGAGGTGGGGATCGGGATGGGGAACACATGTAAATCCATGGCTGATTCATGTCAATGTATGGCAAAAACCACTACGATACTGTAAAGTAATTAGCCTCCAACTAATAAAAATAAATGAAAAAAATAAATAAATAAAAATAAATCAGAGACTGCAAGAATCCACCTCAGAGTTTCTTCTCTCAAGAGGTCGAGGGTGGGGCCCCAAAATGTGCATTTCTAACAGACTTCCCAGTGGTGCCGAAACTGCTGGTCTGGGAACCACAGTTTGAGAGCCACTCACTGGGAAAGGCTGGGAGACTAAGGGCAGGAGGAGAAGGGGGTGACAGAGGACGAGATGGTTGGGTGGCATCGCTGACTCAATGCACATGAGTTTGAGCAGATTCCAGGAGATAGTGAAGGACAGGGAAGCCTGGCGTGCTGCAGTCCAATGGAGTCACAAAGAGTCGGACACGACTGAGCGGCTGAACAACAATCCAGGAAAAGCACGACTGTGCCCTATTTACTCAGAATTCTGCTCCATTTCTGGATGGCCATGGGTCAGTGAAGACAGCTTCCTGAGGAGTAGTAACTCAGGATGGACTCTATTCTGTAATAAAGAGGTGGCAGCATCTTCCAGTACAACCCAGGTCTTGTTTATCTGTGGCTTTAGTTTTCAACGGTCCCTGCTAGAAGTTGACTTAGGAAGTAAAAGGTAAACAGGGAGAAGACAGCATTGTAGCAAGGTCTTTATACAATCTATGTAGGGCAAATAGGTTTGTACACACACTAGTACTGGTTTTTCTACCAGTAGGGAAACCGGTTTATAAAGAAGGTCATAAAGATACAAAAGCTTATTCCAAACATTGTTTAATGACATAGCTGCACCATTGTTTAGAGGTTTCTAACCAAAGGGTGTTTGATAGTTTGGGAATCTAAAGAAACAACTCAATTCCTAATAGAGCTGAATGTTTTATTCTAATCGACCTCCTACTTGAAACTCTTTTGTCTACCTTGAAATATATCGGGACTCTGAAAAAGAGGTAAATTGTGCTTTTCAAACTATTTAAAACTTGATTTTGAAAGGTTTTCTGGTTAGAAGCAAAGTGAAACATTATGTTTCACAGGCTTGAAAAGGCAGCTCACTTTGGTACCTGCAATTATGGTAGACAATTTAAAAAATTCTACCTAAGTAAAAAGAGAAACAGTTCTTTATAAAAGTCAAGAAGAAAGCAGAGCTGGTAATGCTGAGAGAACAATAAAGGACACATAGCTTTGAATTTAAATCTCTCCTCTTTGAGTACCTGGATAAACTTCACATCTGGCTGATACCTTGGAGGCAGTCCAAAATGCAAAATCCAATTTAATCTGGCACCAAGTAACACAATTACATCAGCAAATTGCAAGGCCCTATTAAAAAGAAAAATCTGATATAACAAAAAGTATATCTACATTCTTATTTTGAATTATTCTAAAATTAATTTCTAAAGTATTTGGAAAAGTCTAAATAATTTGGAGTTTACCCTGCTCTTCAGAATGGGCTTAAATGGTAAATTTGGTCTTTCAAACTGAAATAATTTATGAAGTCATCCTATTTAAATGGTAATCTAAAAGTTGACATAAGCAGAATATACTACCATACTCTATAGCATTTATTACTTTTTCATCATTAGAAAAATTATACAAGTCTACTGTAGATAATCAAGAAAAAACAGGAAAGTATAAGGAAAAAGTCAAAATTACCCAATATTACTATCAACTTATAAACTATTATTAAGATCCTGGCATATTTTCATTAGTCTTTAATCTGTCTGCAATGCAAGAGACCGGGGTTGGGAAGATCCCCTGGAGAAGGGAAAGGCTTCCTACTCCAGTGTTCTGGCCTGGAGAATCCTATGGATTGTATAGTCCATGGGGTCGCACAGTCAGACATGACTGAGCTACTTTTACTTTCACTTTTTTTTCTACGCATGTTTATTTTTATACAGCTGAGCTTATATACTAAATACTGTCTCATGCACTTTTGCTTACATATGCTTTCCTTTCTTATTAAGTTATTCTTAAATATAAATTTTAAAAGCTACACATTTTGTTGGACACAAATTGTTTTCTCCTCTTCTCATCTGCTGAACATTTTCTTTGTTATTAATAGTCTGGGTTGCATATCTTTATTTGACCACTTTGTATTGATTCCTAGAAGCAGGTATTTTTACGACGATTGATTCACTTTCCCAAACTGCTTTCAAAAAATATTACACCAAGTGTATCTGTAATACTTTTACATATTAATAATATCTTAGTATTTTTGTCAATTTATTTTTGCTTTGATAGCCACTCTGATAGTAAACATAGCTATTAATTCTTGCTTTCCTTTTGTTTACCTCATACATCTCTGCTTGTTTTTACATTGTATCATTTTTAGATGTGTCTCTAATAATACATATAACCATCATTATTATTGATCCAATTGAAAGGTCTCTCTGCCTTTTTGCAGGATAATTTTTATTATCATAATTGCCATAGGTTTTGTTCTTTCTACTTCTTGACTGTTTCCCTTTTTTCTTATTTCTTTTGCCCAGAGGATCTTTTGCTTTCGTTTTCTGTAGTGGTTTATGCCATTTTTCACAGAAATTCAGCTATTATTTTAACTATATGGTCAAAAAAAACTATTCTTATATACTGCTTTGGTCCTGTGGTCCAATTTAACACACACATAAAAACTGGAAATGGAGAGATAGATTTGCTTATAGATACTCCAAAACCCTTAAAATTGTTGATACATTTATACCCCCTTACAATATTTTTTACATTATTAATGTCATTAATATTACCTTCTTAAATTTCAACAAGAATGAAGATAAACTTCAGTTCAACCCAAGTTAAAGTATATTTTAGAAAACAGTGTAATAACTAATTTGGCTACTGTTCAATGTATGAGAGTTAGCCACTCAGTCATGTTGGACTCTCTGTGACCCCATGGACCCACCAGGCTCTGCTATGCATGGAATTTTCCAGGCAAGAATACTGAAATGGATTGCCATTTCCTTCTCTAGGGGATCTTCCCAACCCAGGGATCAAACCCTGGTCTCCTGCATTACAGGCAGATTCTTTACCATCTGAGAGACCAGGGAAGCCCATGCAATGTATACTATTACGAAAAAAAAGTTATGAGCCTATAAAAATAGCATTAAATGAGTAACATTAAAGGCTGAACAGCAAACATTACATTTTAAAAATCCTCAAAGCTAACTGAGCGTGTGCATGACAACATGAAAATTACCAAGTGTAGCACAACAGTGAATTGTGGAGAGGGAAGAAGAAATGGATGGGATCAGGTAAGACACACAGGGACTACAAACAAATCTGTCATTTTTTGTTTCTCAGAAATAACCTTAAGCAACAACATACTTAATATTAGATGAAGTGGAGTGGTGGTTACATACTGTTCACTAAATTACTCTCTTAATTGTATATTTATAGTATTTCAAAATAAAGAAATTAAAAGAAAAAAAAAAACATGGTTTATCAGAAAGTGTGTTTTGGCCATACAATCAGGAAAAGGGACCCAGAATGCCTGAACGCATGGAGGAAAAGCTCTGCAGTTTTCTTTCTCTCTGTGTCTCTCCTCCAGCTCTGCTCTGAGGGCAGCACAGTAGCACTGCGGTAAGTCTTCTTGTTTCCTTTCTTCAGCCACACTGCACAGCATGTGTAATCCTCCCTTACCAGAGGTTGAACCCGTGCCTCCTGCTTGGAAGTACACACTCTTAACCACTGGACCACAGTCCTAGGCAGCTAAATTCCCAAGAGAAACTTCGTTTTTCAGGCCAGAGGAACTGGGAAAAGAGGCCCCTGTGCTCTGGAAAGTACGGGGGCAAGCCCCTTTTTTTACATCTTTTTTTTTCTGCCACTTTGCCTCAAAGGCAGCACCTGTTGTATGGTACTATAAGGTATCAGCAAGGGGAAGGAACAGTAATTCTGGGAAATGGGAGTAGGGTTTGGGCTGAGTCCTAATAGAGAAAGGAAATCCCTCGTTCTGGATAGGAACCAGCGCGTTCACATCCAGAACAGGGGCTGCGGCTCAGCCCTGGGCTGGGCAAAAATGGGCAGAGTCAAAGGAGCAAAGCAGAGGCCCTGGAGATTAACTGACCGACCCTGGGACATGCCCACAGTGAGTGAGACAGGACCTGCAGTCTGGACCCAACCGAGCGAACTGCCTGTTAAACACACAAACAAAATCAACCTTTTTTTTTTTTTTTGAGCTATGCTGTTCTTTTTTTTTTTT